TGTGGTAGTTGGTGCTTTGAGGGCTCCGAGGAAATTGCCCTCTTGGAGGTACACACACTGCTCTCTATCGTCATATTCTTTGAGGCCTTGTTCCCGCAGCCCCAGGTCAGTTCATTCAGGTGATGTTAGTGGTCTGTGGATGCTCTCTGCCTAGGGAGGTGCTTGTTCCCAGGGCAGCAGGCCGCTGAAGAGGAGCTGTAGCCCGTAAGCGGGAAGGAAGGTGGCCATTTGCTGAACGGCAGCACTACCAGGCTGGCCAGCTGGAACGTAACCTGACTTACTACTCCTTGGGTTTCCCTCTCATTTAGGAAAACTAAAATAATGCCACATTGGAAAGTATTATCAGGTTTTCCTGGGGGTCTCCTGCTTTGTATTAGAGACTATCCTTAGGGTCATCGGGATAGTACGTCTGCTTTCTAGGGTAATCCTGAGTGGTGAGTCCTGGGAGGGAATCTTCCTTGGGACGGCTTAGATTTTTCTTGAGGCTTTGGGAGGGGCGCATGAGCAGTACTCCAAAGAGAACTCCGATTTCAGGTGTTAAGGCAGAGATTGTTGCTGGGTCTGAGGAAGAGCCCGGCCAGGGCAGGAACTGGGTCGGCACGACCCCCCAGCCCATTGCCTGGCTTGCAGATAGGCTTGCGGAGAACGTCTGTGTCTAATGTCATTAATGTTTCGGGCGGTGGAGACCCTTTCAGACCAAGCAAAGCAGACTGAAAGATGGTACAGATCTGTGCATATTTCATTTTCTTTCTCTTTCTACTCATGGTTTGTTTGTTTTCTCCCCCCTCCAGTGACAAGAAAAGGAAGCTAGAAGCCAAACAACCCAAAGAGAACAAAAAACTGAAGAAAAACAGAGACATGAAGAACAAAAAGGATCTGAAACTGAAGCAGAAGAAATAGCGTGGGCATCGGTGGCTGACGCGTAAGGAGGTCCCCCTGACTCCCTGGGCTGTCCCTGGCCGGACCGGGCGGCCGCCTGGATTGTTAAAAGCAGCAAGAGTCCCCACCAGAGCCGGAAGCTGGCCGGGAATTCCATCTTTGGGCTGAGCTTGGCTTAGGGCAACGTCACTAAGTGGACTGCCGGCCCACTTGGAACTCGATGGCTGGGCAGACCTCCGGTGCTGCCAAGGGCCTGTCTCCCCTCCCGCAGTCCAGGCCTTTTCCCTCCGGAAGTTCCTATTTTTGCTCTGGGCCCAGCTGTTTTAGCTCCTTGCACATGTAGGAGCCACACTGACTCTGGTCCTTTCTCAGGCGTCAAACGGCTTTCTGGTGATGCCCAGGAGGCACTGGTGCAGCCCTGGGCCTCTCGTTGTGGCCTTGTCTGCACACCGTGAGGCCTAGAGCAGCAGAGCTCTGGTCCCTGTTCATGCCCCGGGGTTTGCTGTAAACCCTTCCACTCCAGGCTCCGCAGGCCTGCTGCCCCCGTCCCAGAAAAGCCTGAGCTCTTAGGCTTGAGTCCCCCCCCCCCCCCAATCTGTTATTTCATCTATTTGGAAAAAAAAATGTTGGGGAAGACCCTTTTGCTAGCAGGGGTGAGGGAGAGAGAATCTATTTTTAATAAATAACAAGCTGGAAAGACCAACTGCCTCTGGGTGCTCATTGGCTCCATGTAGGTGGAAGTTGCCCCTTGCCCTATTGCTTCTGGTGGGTCCTGGCTGCCAGGTAGACTTTGGAAAGTGGTGCCAAGGCCAAGGGTGGGCAGTGGCCAGGGCTTCCCAACCCAGAAGCCTGGGGGAGACGTGGCCGACACCATCTGCGCGCACTGTGGTCCTTCGGAGGGACGTGCTGTGGCTCCTGGGAGCTAGCTAGCTGTGCTTTTCCTCCCAAGCTCCTGTCAGGTCATCCCATTCCTTCCCTCTGTTGGGGACAGAAATTATATGGTGGCTTCACACATACTCTGGAGTGTCTGATGGTAGCCTTTCCTAGTTCCTAACCCAGTACTGTGGTGCTGAAACCTTGACCCTGAAGGTCCTCTGCTGGTTTCTGATCCCTGCCCCTGAGTACGAGAGAAGCTCAAGGTGGAAGTCCGCTCGGCTATGCCCTCGTTCTGGTCACGCACGTGAGCTGATGGTGGCTCCCCAGCAGTCTTCAGCTTCCATGCTTGCTCTTTTTATCTGGAAAATTCACACGGAGGCCTTAGTTACTGATCTTCCTTGGTTTTTCACAGAATTTAAAAGGTCTTCCGTTGAGTCCAAAGACTTTTTTCTCAGCCATGATGTGTCCTCCAGGTTCCTAGAAGTCTAACTCCCGGCAGGGAAGGAAGGGGAGCTTCTGGACCAAAGAGGCTTAAGTGCACACCGCCCGGGACTCACTGCCGCAGCAAGGAGGACAAATTCCCTGGACTAGGGACATCCCTGCACCCGGTCTGCACAGGCCAATGGGCCGTGCGTCTCCTGGATCTGCAGGTTCCCGCCCGCAGACTCCATTAGGTCTGCAGGAAAGTTTGCTGAGAGGGGCAGCGAGAATAATTTTTGATTCGCTTTTTTCAGGTGAGTGCCTGAGCCTGTCTTTCAAAGAGGATTCTCTTAGGAGAGAGGCTTTAAGCAAAGTCAGAATCCTGGATGGTCCGAGCTGGATGACTTCTTCAAAACCGTGGGGCCCAGAGCGGCTGAGCCCTCATGCGGCCTCTCCAGCCCCGAAGCCTGGCTTGTGCTCCGCTCCAGGGTGCAGGGAGAGGTGCCCTGGAGCCAGACCTCCTGGCTCTGCCCCGGGTCTCGCTGTGGCCTTGGGCATGCCCCTTACCTGTGCCCGCGGTCTAGGCACACGGTCGGGAGATGGAAGTGGTGGCGATCGCTCCCACCTCCTGGGCCTTCGTGAGGAGTGAGAGGAGTCGGGTGTGAAGAGCGCACAGTGGTGCCTGATGTCCGGCAAGTGTTCCAGAAGTCTCTGTCATGTGGCCCGCTTCTGCATAACCAGAGGAGCTGCTCAGTGACTCACGAACGCTAAGACTTCGTCAGACGGGCTTTGTCGAACACCGCGACCCGAGCTGAAGAGCCCCACTTGGGCAGCAAGGAGACACACCCTGGGGGCAGACCCGTCGGGGCAAGGTGGTTCCTCACTGCGCAGACCTGAGTCCATCTGCCCGTCCAGCAAAGACGAAGCGAACATTTCTCCTACTGCGTGCAGTCACGGCCCTTTTACTCGCAAAGCGTATGTTCCCAAACAGGCCTCTGCCCTTCAGGGTGGTGATCTTGGGTTCTCCTCCAAACTTGAAAAAGCACACCTCCCCCAGACCTTGCCATCTGGCCCCCAGACAGTGACATCTGTACGGCTCGGCTGTCTCGGGGAAGGTCAGTGGGAGATGAATGCAGGCAGGCTGGCTGTGAGTGCTGGCACCGGACGCCACGGGGCTCGAGGAGCTGAACAAAGATTCCCAAGTGCTCTCTGTCCCCCGAGCCCCCGAGCCGGGAGGGGGCTCCTGCCGGCCTGCTTTGGTGCTTCCATGCGCAACTGGCCCCGCAGCCATGGGGAGTCCGGGGGGACCAGCGGGTGGGCACAGGGGGCTCCTGTGGCTGGGGGAGGGGAGGAAATGAGGGACCACCCCCTTGGAAAAATGGAGCCTCATTATGTGGGGGCCCTGATCCCAGCACAGGCCCTCGGGCCTCAGTGGGCGGGACAGACCCCAGCCTGGGGAGAGGGGATGCCCTTGGAACAGCTGGCTCTGCTCAAGGTGGGGACTCAAGGGGGGAACATGGTGTGGATGCTGCGAGGTGTGGGGATGGTGCAGCTGAGCGCTTCTCTGTGGTCCTGGCCTCCTGGCCTCTGGCTGGCACTGGGGAACCAGCAGGGAGCAAAGGAAGGGGGGCAGGAGCGCTGGGGCCCCTCCTGACTGGAGGCTCAGCCCCCTTGAAAGATTGATTTTTTTTCTATTTTTTAAGTAGGCTCCACGGCCGGCCACACAGGGCTTGAACTCATGACCCTGAGATCAAGCCCTGGCCTGATGGAGTGGGACAGATCGAGTGGGACGCCTACTGACTGAGCCACCCAGGCCCCTCCAGCGGGAGGTGCTTTCTCAGTGCGCTGCTCACGCAGGCTCACGTCCCGTCCCTCGCGCTGCCCCTGAAGGGAGGACCCCTGGACTCCCTAGGCACTTGGCCGAGGCGTGTCCTGGGGGGGCAGGAGGGGAGGACGGACTTGTGACCCAGACCCCTGACGGGCCCACTGCTGGGCGGGGACAGCCCCTGACCCTCCCTCAGGGGCCTCTGCCCGGGGCGCCAAGGGGTGCGCCTCCTTCCTGTGGCCCCCAGAGGGCGCCGTGCGTCCACGCAGGCCTTCTCCCCGGGGCCAGGGTCCTGACCGCAGCTGGTCATTGGGCCTCTCCCTGACTGACCCCAGTGACGCCCCGAGGCCTTCACGCGGCCCCCGGCTTCCGAGTTCTGGCCTATCGGGTCCTGAACCACAGCCACCGGGCCGGTGTTCCCGGGGAGCTTCGGCGCTGCGCTTCCTGCCTCAGGTAGCACGCATTTCAGAGAACCTTTATTCCTGCCTGGACTTTGTACCTAAAACAAACTACAGCCCAGAGTCACCAGTTCCCTGTCCTCCTCCGTTCACAGGTGGCACAGACCAGCTCGGGCTCGGCTGGGCCCCGGGCAGCAGCCACTGAGGGACAGGCAAGAAGGCCCTGCCTCCACCTGGCCGGCCACACAGGTTTGGACGTCGCAGGGGCTTGCAGGTGACCATCAACCCCACTGGCAGTTCCCACGCGGGGGCCACAGGGGTGGCCGGGGCTCAGGGAGGATGGGAAACGCCTGTGACGGCGTCCTTAGGCCTGGCAGGGGCCTCCGTCCCCACACCCCCCTCCATCCTCATGACGGCACCGTAAGCGCTCACCACAGAGGGTTTTGTCATCGGCCACCTTGTTTGGCAGAAGAGAAAACCAGGGCCCGGCAAGGGGCGCTCCAGGCTCAGGGGGCGGGAAGCCACCCCCTAGCCCGCTGCCGCAGCCCGAGGAGCCCAGAATTAGCTCCAAGCAGCCTCGGGCAGGAATGACGAGCCAAGGCCGCTGTTAACAAGTGTTTATTGTTAATAAAACCATGGTACATTTACAGTAAGTGACAACGTATAGTTACAGTATCGTACAATATTACAGCAATAAAATACCGCCTATCCTTTGTACATCCACCTCAAGCAGCTAGTCTCAAAAATATTTTCCAAGGTTGCAAGCCCTGGGGGCTTTTCAAGGTAACCAAAGTGACACCTCCTGACGGGCCCAGGGCTCTTGGGGAATAAATAGTTTCTAAGGTGCAGCCAGACGGCCCGGAGAGCTACGCCCAGAGCAAGCTGTCTGCGCTGCTCCCCCGGTGTCTGGTCCATAAATACGACAAGCAGCCCACCTGACGCTGCGTCTCCACCTCGGCAAGCCCGGAGCCAGCAGCAGGCCTGCGGCAGCAGGACAAGGACCACAGCAGGTCCTTTTCTCCCACCGCCCTCCTTTATGCCCCCACGACCTGCAGTCCCAATGAGGGGCGCCCCCCTCTCTGGTCCAAGGGAAAGGACTTTCCCTTGAGGGACCCAGCCAGGGGCACACCGAGGGCGCTGCTGCTTGAGCCCACAGAGGCAGCCTAGCTCTAGGCTTGGGGTTTCAGAATGGGCCCCAAAAGCAGCAACTAAAGCTGAGGCCACCAGACTCGCCCACCGTACCCTGTGCGCCCCCAAGCTCCCCGGGCTTAGCTTGGAAGTCTGAGGGCATTGGCTGGGGACCTGCCTTCTCGCACTAACGGAGCGGGGGCGTGGGTCCCCCGAGGAGGGGCTCTGAGGCCTGGACACCAAAGGAAATAGGGCCCTCCGTGACCCTCTGGGTGGGATCTTCAGGCCCCCTGGAGGCTCACATCACATGTGGGAAGGCACAGCCTTGAGGAAGTTCAGGGATCCGGGCAGCCTTTCTGGCGGGACCTTGAGGGAACAATACCAGCTTCTGCAAGAAGTGGCCCGGGGTCCAGCGTGTCGGTTCCCTACATTCATCAGGTCGCCTGTACCCCCAGGGCCCCAGCTTGGACGGCCTGAGCTTAGGGAGGCCTGGGGATTGGGGGTGGCCAGAGCCTGGAAGGCATGGTCAGAAGCTATTTCAAGCAGGGGTGCATCAGGATCAGCCGTAGACGTCCAGGGGGAGAAGTGGCACACGAGGGTGAGTTCGCGGTGGCCCTCAAGGTGCTGACTATGGGGGGCGGGGGTGGGGGAAGGGCCACCCTTTGGCCTTGTCTACCGATCACTAGTGAAGTAAAGAGCTCTGGGGGCAGAGGGGTTGAAGGTGGGGCTGCCCGGTGATGGGAGGGCTCAGAGCCCATCTACCTGCCCAAGGACAGACATCAGAGAGGGCAACGGAGTCCCAGGAGCCTGGCTCCAGGGAGGCCTACAGCCAGCGTCCCCACCCACCCCGGGGGCCCCCCCGACGCATCTGCGGGGCCCGGGCTATGGACTTATCAGATGCTCCCAGCCTTTCACCCCCGCGGCCCAGAGGGGGCTGGGCGTGCCGGGCTGCCATGTGCCCCCTCAGACCCGGGACGTGATGTAGACGGAGTGCACACGCTCGGCCAGGGTGCTCTGCAGGTCCTGCAGCGGGTCCAGGCCCTGCACCTTGCTGTTGCGGCCGTAGATGAGCTGCCGGAAGGAGTCCTGCTCCAGCAGCGCCTTCATGTGCTTGAGGAAGAAGCCTTCACAGAACAGGGCCAGTTCGGGGGCGTTGTGGATCTGCGGGGGCCGGGGGTGGGTGAGAGCACCGCAGCCTCATCGCCCCTCCCTCCCGCCCCCCGGATCTGGATTCCTCCAGACGGGACGACGGTTCACCAGGAACATCACCTGCCCTGCTCCGTCACCTTCCCTGCCTCCCCCCACGGCTGCCCTAACGGAAGGGCAGGCACCCGGGGGGGGGGGGGGCTCCCTGACCACTGCCGGGGCCCCGGAGCCCATTCACCGGGGTGCTCAGTAACTGGCTCCACAACTACCGGGTGTGGCTCCAGGCCAGGTCCGGGCCAGGTCCCCGCCAGGCGCTCCTACAGGGCAAGTTCTACTTTGGGGGAGACCAGAAGCCAGAGAACCACTAAGGGGAGGGCAGCCAGCGGTGTGTGCCGGGAGGAGGGCAGGTGAGCCCCCTCACGTGGGGCTGTGAGGAGATCGGGAAGGTGCTTTCCTGGAGGGAGGGGGTGGCTGTTGTGACGTGGGAGGGGCCCCAGGGGCCCTCGGGGGATGGTCAGCCTGTAGCAGAGGAAGCCTCCGGGAGGGAGGCTGCAGGTGCGGGAGGCCGTGGCCTTCACACTCTTCAAAGAGCCTGGAGCCCGCCCAGGGTGGGAGCCAAGGAGGGGAGGCCAGTGCTTCGGTCAGCGAGGTGAGGGGTGGCGGCGGGGTGGGCACGGGGGACGTGGGCAGAGCCGACTGCCGCTGGGGCAGGTGGGAACACGGCTCCTAAGTTCTGAGTGAGCACCTAAGCCGAGGGCCGCGCTGTTTGCCGAGGGGGAAGCCTGGGGAGGGCAGGCTGGGGTCGGGGACTATCCCGGGGACCATCCCCCTGGAGCAGCTCTGCCCTTCGACCCAGGCCCCCTGCATGAGTGTGGCCAGATCCCAGCTGCCACGGCCCACCAGCGCGGGCTCACCTTGGCGTACTTGTACGTGCTCACGGCGCTCTCCACGCTGAGGGTCTGGGAGCACAGGATCTCGCAGTGCCTCTGCAGGGCATCCAGCTGGAACAGGCTGGCAGCCGACAGCAGCTGGTGGGGCAAACGTGGCCGTGGTGGGGGCAGCCAGGCCTCGGGGAACGAAGCTGCCCGGTGCGGCGGGCCCTGCCCACCTCAGCAGGTCAAGTGTGACGACTGCCTTCTGTTCTGGGCCACCTAGGTACTTCCCGGGACGCCTTGGAAGGCAGGGGACGGTGGCGACATTGGATGGGACTCCTGACCTCAGAGGGCCTTCAACTGCGGGCTGCGGTCTCCTGGACCTTCAACGGGTCCCTGACCGGCAGGGGGCCCGTTCTCTACATGGTGAGGAGGTGCGTGAGGGGCTGGGCGGCCTTTGAGCCTCCGGGGTCTGTGACCCCACTGGGGAGCCCTTCCTCCTCACCCCACCCCCGCCCAGGACGCAGGTGGGCACGCAGGTCCCCGGCCTGGCCTGAGAGGCCCTTCCTATCACAGAAGAGGAAGGGCCAGCAGGGACCCAGGAGGTCCCAGAAGAGACCGCCCCCCTCCTCGGTTCTCCAAATGCCACGTCCCGGAGCGTGGCGCTGAGAGCCAGCAGCTGGGGACGGGGCGCACGGGCTCTGGCCCTCACCTCCAGGACGTCAGCGGCTGGGATGTCCATGGCTTCCGTCCCTCCGTAGTACAGGTACTGCATCATCATCTGCGGCAGGAGGAGGCCCGTGTGAACGAGCGGACCCCCGCGCCCGCGTCCTCACGGGGCTCCAGCAGAGGGCCACGCTCTCCGCCTGTGTGTGGGCGCTCCGGAGGCGACTGTGCGAGCACCTCTAGCAGTCAGCCCCCAGAGAGTCTCCCTCCAGATCCCGGCCCGTAGGACAAGCTTCCTTCCCCAGGGCGGCTTCACTGGGATCCTCAGGACAGCCCCGTGTGCCCAGAAGGGAAGGCACTGAGGGAAACTGAGGCCTGGGGGTGGGTCACTCGGGTCCCCTGGTTCCCACACCAGACCCCCAGGCAGCACACTGCGCGTGTCTCTAATCTAGTTAAGGGCCTGGGGGGGAGGGGGCTGCCCCCCAGAAGCTGCTTCCACCCCTCCCGTCTGTGCTGAGCCTCCAGTGTGAGGCGAGAGCCAGACCCCGTCTCCCCCTGGACTCGTTCCCGGGGACGACAGGCGCTCCAGGGGCCACCCCGCCGCCTGGCCAGACCCGCCTGGGGCTTCTGGGAGCAGAGGCCTGGGACAGCACATGAGGCGGCCCAGGAGGGCAAGTGAGGAGCCGTGCTGAGGTCTAAGTCACAAGCTCTGCCGTCACGCTGGAGTCCGGGAGGTTCCCCGCTGGAAAAAGAAAAATGCCTGGCGCTGGTTGGCTCAGGAAAGAGCCCCAGCGAGGAGCTGGCAAGTGTGTAAGTAAACACGGTCCAGCCGGCACAGTGGGGCTCTGTTAGGAGCGGGCCCCCCAGGCTGGAGGCGGCACCACGGGGTCTAGGGAAAGGAGCACCCCCTCCCGGGCCCTTAACTCCCCCACGGGTGTGGGGAGCCGGCCTGGCCAGTCTGTCCGGGTTCACGGTCAGTGTCCGAGACATCTGTCCCTCCCCCGAGAGGCAGGGCTCCCGCTGGCCCTCTGCAGCCCCAGGCCTGGGTTCTGCTGTCCCCTCACTGGGCACGGGCTGGCTGTTCAGGACAGCCCCACAGGCCAGCCCGGGGCTGGGAGCTGAGCGGATCGGGGGGTGGGGGGGCTGGCAGGATCTCCCAGGACGGGCTGCTACAGGATGGCCTCGGGGCAGCCCCTCAGCAACAGGGGACCCGGGGTGGGTTTGACATGGTGCAGCCGGCTGTGGCCTGTGGGTCCCCCCAAGATCACCTGAATGCATATCAGGCCGTGGAGATCAGACCAGAAGGGCTCCCTGGGAATGTTCCTGAGGGAGCTGGGCGGCCGGCAGGCAGGGGAGCTCAGTGCCCCCCGGCAGGCCGCCCGCGGCTCTGGAAGGCGGCTCGGGGAGAGGCCCGGGCAGGAGGGGATGCGGAGGGGCAGCGCGGCTCGCTCCTGCACGGACTACGGCCCGGAACCCGAACGCGGGAAGGCCGCGGACACCGCACAGACAGGCCTGGGGTCAGAGGCCGCTGAGACCGGCAGGCTGGTCCCCAAAGGCCGGGGTTCTGTTGGCAGGGACCCTGGCAGCGTCTAGACCTGGCTAATGCAATGGCCACCGGCCACGCGTAGCTCTTAAATGTTTGAAATAAGGACTGATCGGAATGGAGATGTGCCGTGACCATCGATGCCCACCAGGTTTCAAAAGCTTAGCATGAAGAAAGAAAGTAAACTAGCTCATTAATTTTTATATTGACTACATGGAGTATTTGGACTAAAAAGAACTAAGTAACATATCATTACAATTAACTTCAGCCATCTCCTTTTTTTTTTTTTTTTTTACGTGGCCGCTACAAAATGTTAAATTCCGTATGTGGCTTGCGTTCTCTCGGATGGCACAGCTCCGATCTCCTTGGGCCTGTTTCCTCCTCTAGAAAACAAATACAGTGACCTGCTGCCTGCCCTCCCTCCGCGTCTGTCTGTCTGTCTCCCACCCGGTGCTGTGAACCCAGGGAGATACTCAGGGGCTGCTCTGAAACCTTCAGTCTTTGTGAGGAAGCTCCGGCCTGGGATCGACGGCTTCAGGCCGACCCCTCCGAGGAGCCCGGGGAGCAGAGTCAACGTCGAGGCCCCCCCAGAAACGGCGCTCTCCCATGATGACGCACGGGTGCCGTGGATGTTAGACCTGAAGTCCCCGCTGACCCTCCCAACGGCGCTGAGAGGCGCTCGGGCGCACGGACCCCCCACCCCCACCCCGTGAGTAGGTGCAGCTGCTGGGCAGCTCTGTGGTGGTGGCCACCCAGGTCCCCACGCGGGCCCTTGCACTGCCGCTCCTGCGCTGCTGCCCTCCTGGGCCTGATCGTGACCCCACCTCCTGTGCCAACTCACCGGACGTTGGGCCCCTAAGCCAAACAAGTTTCTAGAGCTGCCCCCTTCCCAGTGGGTTCGGATCAAGGGATACAAAAGAGGGAAACAGAGCTACCTCGACTCCGCTGCCCGTGCCAGGCCCTGCCCACCCCCCGCCCCCCATCAGTCCCCGGGTCCCGTCCACTCTCCCCTCACACATCCCCCCCATCCCGCCTGCCCACCATCCCCACAGCTGGATTTCTCAACCTCCTGCCTGGCCCCCGGCTGCAGCTATGGCCCCTGTGGGCCCTTCCTCACCCTCCCCGTGAGCTTTGTCAGTGTGAACTTGACCATTCCACACAGCCTAGCTTTCAGTCCTGGCTCGATCACTTCCCAGCTGTGTGACCTTCGGCAAGTTACTCAACTTCTCTGTGCCCCCGATTCCTCATCCCCCACGAGGGACGGCGACCCCTGCCCCTCCCAGGACTGTGCTGTGCCAGGAAGCTCAACTGACGAACAGGGACGAAGCTCCTAAGCGTTGAGTGGTGATGACCTTTCCGCGAGCTGCTGCTGTAGGTTAAAGGTCAAACCCTTCGTGCGAAGGCTTCTCCTGAAGCAGTGACCCGACTAGACCAGAAGGCGTTTCTTAAACATGCCGTGGTCCCTGCTGCTGGGGTTTTGGGCGCAGCGTGCCCTGCCCGGAGCTCCCGCTGGCTGCCCCAGGCCGACAGCCTCCATGGCTTTGGGTTAGATCCAATTTCCTGCGCTCCCAGCCGCTCCCCACAAATCTCACTCTCTCCTAGTCCTGTCTCCCAGGGCACAGGGCCCTGTCCCCTTTACTGCTGTCCCCAGTGTCCAGAGATGACGAAATGACAAATCAGTGGGTGAAAACAGCTTGGGCAGGGAACTAGGCCATTTTAGACGGGGGCTCCTGTGCTTTTGTGAGGCGGGTCTGTCCCACCAGGCCACAAAGCTGTCCTGTGCAGGGCCAGGCCATGGACCCGCGTCCCGGCTGCCCCCGGCCTCAGTCCCAGCCCCTGGGGGTCATCCCTGCAGCCCGGGGCCCACCGCACAGGCTGCCGACTCCTAGTCACCGCTTCCCAGGAAGGAGCTCCCAGCCAGTCCCCTCCCAGCAGACGCTCTGGCACGGCTGGTGGCCAGCCTGTGCGCTTCCCGTCATGCAGCCGCTGATCTCTGGAAGACTTGACCTTGGTCTTCCACAAGCCGACCAGGCTCGACTGGCCTGCCTGGCTGGGGTCCCCACTTTGGAGGAGTGGTGCGGCCCACACCATGCTCCTGAGTGCGAGCACGCCACCCACCTGGGGGCTCGCTGCGGGAGGCCAGGGGTCTGGTCTGCTCTGTGGGGAGCCCACCCCGAGGAACGAGGGTGCATACACGCGCAGGTGGTGTGAGCCGGGCCTCACATGTCTGTCCGTCCATCTGCCTAGGCCCCTTGTCTAGTCAGAGCTCAGGACTCACGAGAGGCTCTGAACTACAAGCCCGTCCCAGAAAGACCACCTTGGCCTGAGAAAGACCTGGACGCTCTACCCTGATCACTGATTCAGCAAACGCAGGAGGCAGCGGGGACGGAATGCAAGATTACGGCCAACTCCCAGCTGCCTTGCAGCCCAGGTGCACAAAGCTGGGGGCCCTGGGGAAGCCCCCCACTCCCCGGAGGCCCACACACCTGAAAAATGTGGTACTTCATGTCGCTGATCTCAATGGTTTTGCTGCCATTGCCGTCTTGCTCTGATTTATTGGTCATTAGCGTCTTGAACCTAGAGCAAAGGGGGTGAAACGAGGCGGGTCTTGAGCACGACTTTCCCTTCATCACCGGGCAGCAACGGTGCCATCCATCACCTGACCGGTCACCGGGAGACGGCGCATTTTTAAAATTACTGCAGTGCTCCCAAAATAATTCTCAGCAAATGGCAGCTTACATCATCCGGGGCTGACAGCTGGGCCGGCCCCGATCTGTCCCCATGGCCCCCCGCGAGTGACTGTGACACCATTGGCCAGAAAAGTGACTCTTCATTCCAGAATGGTTTCTAATAACTGGAACCAGTAACTCGACCGGGAAGAACACGGCCTCCGAGCTCCTCTGGGTCGCCCTCCTACCGTCCCTCTGTGCACCTGCCCTCGGCCCGTGGGGGGACACGTGAGCCGGGCCCGTGGCGCAGAGGCTCGTCTCCCGAACACCGTCACCCGGCGTCTAGATGAAGCCGCCCCACCGTCCGGGCCGGGGCTCGTTCCCGGGGGCGGCCTACCTGTTGGAAGCCGTCACCAGCAGGACTTTGTGTGCATAAAACAGCTTCCCTTCCACCAAGAAGGTCACATCGGACATCTCCTTGTTGTTCAGAAAGTGAGGATCTGTGCCCAGAGGGAGAGGTGGGATGTGACCGAAGGCCCCCCGGGGGCTGCGTAAGCATCCCGAGAGGTCAGGGGGCACGACTGGGTTAGAACAGAGACTGAGGCCAGGGCCTCGGCGGGCTGGGAGCAGAGCGGAGAGGCGGGGCGGGCAGGCCTCACCGAGCCTGGCGGGCAGTGTCTTCCGGATCTCCGGGATGCTGGGGACCGGGCTGCTGCCGTAGCAGTGCGTGAAGATGGCGGCCAGCTGCTGGGTGACGGCGTCGTTCTGCGGGGGGGCAGACACGGCCGTGAGCCAGCCTGGCCCCATCACCGCCTCCTGCCCCGCAAATCCCGGGCCCTGTGCGGGCGGGAGGGTCTGCACGCGCCCTGGGGCTCGGCGCTCGCGGTGGGAGGCCTGGCGTCACTCACTTTGCTGCTCTTGAGGATGTCGAACATGAGCTGCAGGCCCTCGGTCACCAGCTCCTCGTTGTATTCCTCCTCCTTGATGGAGCTGAAGTCCCGCAGGAGGCTCTGCACCACCGAGTACCGCGACTGGGAGAAGGAGGTCCTCAGAGACTCGATCCACACGTGCAGCTTCCAGGGGACGCCTGGGGCGGGGGCGAGGGGGTACCTCAGCTCCGCTGGCCCCGTGCAGACCCCCGGTCCGCACCACCGAGACCCCGAGTTGGCGGGCCCCTGGTATCTGCAGGGCAGGGGTGCCCCCCCGCCCCATGACCTGACAGGCCCTGCCGGGAGGTCGGAGGGACTTCAGGGGCCCATCAGGTAAGGCCGAGGACTGGCTGCGGCCTGGGGCCACCCCAGCCCCACTGTTTGTGGGGCCCCGGAACTCCCTCATGGGAAGACCTGCTGATTACGAGGGCTGGCAGCTGCACTTGGACGCCTAGAGAACATGCAGGACAGCCAGGCCCACGCCCGTCTAGAGGCTGCCCGGCCTCCCTCGGAGCACTTCACCAGCACGCAGGTCACGGGCACCCAGTGTAATTACTGTGCGCCAGCTCCCCGGAGTGTGTCAGCGGGGCCATAAAGTAACTTAAAACTACTTTGCGGAGGTCATGGCAAAAACTAGTAATTTTCCTGGTAATTAGAAGCTTCTTACCCCCAGCCTCACTGTGGCGTTCCCCAGGGACACAATGACGTGGGTGCCATTAGCATCCTCGGTTTACTGACTGGATGGGAGCGAGCTGCCCGTTGGGCAGTGAGGAGCCCTGAGCCTGGCGGGCGGCGTGGCCTCCCCCAGCCCCTGTGGCAGTAGCCCCGCCGCCACTGCGCACACGTGTTCATGGAGCCTCGTGGGACCTCACATTCTTAGAGGATCATCAGCGCCAGTGAACGTGGAACGGCCGGGACCCCACCCAGGCCTCCGTGAGCAGCCTCCTGTGAGGAAGGAGCCCCGCAGACTTGCAGGCACAAGGGGCAGAAGACTTTGGCGAAGGGACAGAACGGCTAGTTGGCCAGCAATGTTGGCTCGGTGCCGCACATGCGCCAGGGGCTGCGCAGCCCAGCCGTGAGGGGCCGTGGCGCGCCGACCGCGGAGGATGAAGGGCCAGAGCGATGCCCTGCAGACGCAGCCCCGTCAGGGACTGTCCAAGGCTCGGGGCATTGCCCGCCCCGTGCCCAGCTGCCCCAGCCTGTCTGCCCCGGCGGTGTGGGCCCTGCCCCCTGCAGTCTGCTAAAGAGCAGCAGAGTGCGTGTGTGCATGTGCGTGTGCATGTGCGTACGCCCGCGGGGCCTCACCCAGCGCCCTCAGCTCCATGGTGATGTCCACGTAGCCGTGCTCGGCGCTGTAGTACATGGCCTCCTGCAGGGCCTTCGTGCGGGTCCGGCTCAGCCGCATGGGCCCGTCGCTGCCGCTGCCCTGGCTGGACGTGTCACTCTCCTCCACGCCCTCGGCCAGGATCTCCTCCAGGGACAGCACGTCCGCCTTGGCCTGCTGGGGCTGTGTCAGGAGCTTCCTCAGGACATTCCTGCAGGCCAAGGCACGAGGGAGGGTGGGGCAGAGGTCCTCACCATGACGCTGCCCGTCTGAGGAGCCCTCCAGAACCCCGTGGCCTTGATGGGCTGCTGCGCGGCACCCGTGGGCACAAGGGACGCAGGCTTCCCCTCCCAGGCAGGCTGGGCCGGCGCTCCCAGCAGCTTCCATCTGCAGCCACCTGAGTGAGGCAGGGGAGGGTACAAGGGACCCTCGGGGGGCACCAAGGGTCACCCCACCCCCTGCCACCATCCCAGTAAGACTAAGTCATGGGCTCTGGGGCCAAGCAGGCCCTGCCATCCTGGCTGTGTGGCCTCAGAGGGGTTGCTCTGCCTCTGTGCCCTGACTGCCCTGTCATCCGCAAGCGGGGTGTCCACATCCCCGTCTCCCAGCATTAACGCAAGGCCAATGTGACACATCAGGTGGAGAGCCTAACCACGGCAGTCCTCAAGGTGGCAGCCAGCTGTACTGCGGGAAGGGTCTGAAGCCCAGGACGCGCTCATACTCCTGTTCCCAGCCTGACCAAGAACGAACTGAAGTCCAGGTTCATTTTGACCCTGTGACAGGCCGCGGACACCGCCATTCACGGCCGGCAAATGCATCCTGCTCCAGGTGGCGCCGGGCAAACCCCGGCTCATTCCGTCACACCCGGGGCCTGAGGTGGCTGCGCATGGGCAGGTCCACAGGTCACGCGGGGCTGAGCCTCCCGCCCAGCCCAGCCCGCTCCCCAGTCCGTGGTGGAGGTCACGTTGTGCCTGCAGAGACCCCTCGAGACCCCCGGGGGCAGCCCGCCATCGCCCTGCTCCCCATGAGCTCACAGAGCACCTGCTCTGCCGGGCGCTAGGATGTGAGGTGAGCCGCCTCACTCCTGGTCCCCAGGTCCCGTGGTCCAGAGACAGAATGGGGAGCGCGTGCATGGACAGAGCGTCGCTGCACAAGGTGAAGAGGCTGCGGTGGGGGCAGGACGGGGTGCTGCCTGCGTGGGGGAGGGGGCCCAGCGGCAAGGCCGTGCAGTATGGTACTGGGGACAGGTGGCCAAGCGGGGCCAGCGCAGGCAGGAGGTGGAGAGCAGAGCCACCGAGGGAGGGCCTCATGGCCGGGCACACGCTGGGTCTGAGAACGGTGCTGGACAATAGGGAACAGTTGTCCTGCCCGCCCTGCCCTCTGGCCCCTTTTCTGGCTGCCCAATAACCTCCTCTGTCTCATTCCGCCCCCCTCCCCCCGAGGGCTCTGCTTGCAGCCCGCTGCCCGCCCCCCATCACAGCCCTGGGCAGGCCTGGGCCCCACAAAGCGAGGCCCACCGTCTGCTCCTGGGCGGATGGGATTCCCCACGCAGCCACCAGGAGGCTCCCCGGGGTGAGCCGTCGCCTGCGGGGCCCCTGGAGGACCACCCAGCACAGGCAAGGGAAGGCATGTGGCCCCAGGGGGGCCCGCGCTCACAGGGTAGAGTCCACAGGGAGTGGGGGGGCCTGCTCTGGGCATCGGGGGCCCGGGCTGCACTCCCAGGTGTGCTGGGAACGGCCGGGAGGCCTCCCCGCCACCCAGTGTCTCTGGGCCTCCAACATCCGAGGCCCCTCTGCTGGTTGAGGACGCGCATCTTTCTGGGTGGCCTCCACGCAGAACCCCCATCTGGAACGAGCTCTCCAGCTCCCCTGCTCCACACAGGGGAGTCAGACTCCTGAAAGCCTGTTTCATGCTCCCGCCTCACACGGGCAGGAACCCCGGATGCATCGTACCTGTGGCCATGGGCGGCCGAGTGGCTGAAGCAGTTCATGTCCTCGTGGAGGGAGGAGGCCATGCCATTGGCCTCGAGCATGCTGAGTAGGGGGTCGGCGCCGCGGCTCAGCAACAAGCTGACCAGCTCGTAGTTCCCTAGAAGACAAGGCCGACGGAGGATGCCACCACCGCCCACATCACCGCGTGCCGAGCCCAACGGACACACTGATAAGGGGGCGAGGGGAGCCCCCAGGGGCTCGGAGAGAGGGGTTTCCAGGCTCGCCTCGGGGACCTGGGCTCGTGGCCCCAAGTCCAGCTGCGGGTCCGGCCTGGCTGCGGCGGGGGGGGGGGGGGGCAGCGGGGGCCCCTGCTGGGCAGGGCAGGGCAGGGCAGCTGTCTGTACACCTACCAGCTGCAGAGGCCAGCTGCAGGGGGGTCTCCGTGTAGCTGTCCTCGCCGCCACTCACTGCTGAGCCCTCCACGTGGGCCCCGGCGTCCAGCAGCAGCTGCAGGGCGCAGAGCAGGACACGTCAGCGTGTAGGGGAGCGTCTGGGATGCATGCAGGGGGGGCTCTGGGAAGGGGCCCCTAGTTCCCTCCCGGCCTGTGACCGAGACCCAGCTCCCCTGGGCAGCTGAGGAGCTAGAACTCTGGAGCTTGAAGTTCCCTCAGGGCTTCAAGTTTCTAGGATCTTCGCCTCTACTCTTGGGGCTCTGAACCAAGCCCCTCTGCTCCGGGGACTTCTGATCTGTTTTTCTCTTTCAAACACTTTCCTATGAATTGACTGCAGTGACCTGAGTTACGCAAACAAGAAAGCGTTGCCCCCAATCTACCAGGGGAAACGGGGCTCCGGGAGGCAGCAGAGGTAGTGGGAAGGGCCCAGGCATCAGACTCTAAGAGCGTGGAGTGCCAGCGAGGCCACCGAGCAGTGAGGGACCCGGGGCGGGGCGCGAGCCTCAGCTCAGGCCTCAGCCTTCCCCATTCGACAAAGGGCCGGAGGCCGGACTTGCCGGGGATGAAACGAAATGGCGCTCGACCCACCACAGGGATTCAGTGACCGGTGGCATCGAGGGGTGTCACCAGAGGCGTCCGGCAAGCTACCCGAGGCTGGGAGGCCGAGGGCCGGGGCCAGCCGTCGCCGTCCAGGACGCCTCCCTCCACACTGGCGTGCGGCTAGCGGCCACCACGCAGTTCCCGCGGAGCCGGGCTGGCTCTGCCCTGGGCGGGGTGGCGTCTGCACTGCCCCAACAGGTGACTGGGCGGGGCCTCACCTTCTCTGACCACCGCTCCGGAGGGGAGCACGGATCCTTCCCGGCTTTCTGGACACCAATCCCAGAGCCTGCACTCGGGCAGGCCAGGGGAGGCCCCGCGGGCCCCGCACCTGCAGACCGGGGCTGAGGGGGCCGGGCCGCCCTCCGAGCCTGCGCCCTGCTGTGTGGGAAGTGGGGAACGGCTGCAGGCTCTCGGCAGCCAGAACCAGTTGTGGCACTGCCTGAGCCGGTGTGCCAAGGTGGGGAGGCAGAGGCTCACCTGGTGGGGCGAAACTGGGCACCATGCAGGCCGGTCCGGGCGAGGCTGGAACGGCACTACCCAGAGAGCAGGCAGGGCAGCCCGCCGGCTACAGACCATCTACTGAGTCACCACCCGGGCCAGGGCTGTGCTGATGGCGCGGGCAGCCTGGACACGACCCCCACCCCAGAGGACCTGCCGTCTAGCCGCCAGCGAGGGTGACACATGGGCTCCCGGGAAGCCACGTGCAGCCCCCTGTGGACCCCAGTGGCCGAGGAGCAAAGGAGTCTGGGAGTCGGTGGCAGGGTGGGGAGGGACGCTGCTGTGCCCCACTTCGAGGCCTGAAGCCCAGCCTCACACCAGCCACAGCTACCTGGCCCAACACGGGCACAACACAGCCCGGCCTGGCGGACAGGTGAGCTGTGCACTCCGGGTCCTCTCTCGGGAACTGGGAAATTGAAAGTCTAAGCCTGTTACCGGGGACGGCCAGGACCAGGACGCTGTGACACAGGGCCAGCTCCGCGGGACCATTCACGGGGGAGCAGAAAGCTCCGGAGTGCACCTGCAGCGTCCGGTGAGACTCCCCGACAGGGACAGAGACGCCCGCACACCTGCTACTGCTGGGACCTGGGTCTTGTTCCCCAAGACGCCTCACGTCGTATCCTTACACTAATGCCCTCTCCCCGAGGGAAATCAGGGGGTGTCGTCCTGCTGACCAGGTGAGGTGGCCTGAGGCAGGCCCTCCGCTTACTCGGATTCCAGGCGGCTACTCCCGCGGCCAGGCAGGGGCTACGTGTGGGGCGCAGCCCACCTGGTGAGCCGAGGGCTCCCTGCACACCTGGTGGAAACTCACCTGCACCACAGAGATGTGTCCATGCAGCACAGCAAACGTCAGCGACGTCCAGTGCCTGCTGTCTGGGTGGATGGAGGGGTGCCTGGGAGAGTTGCTTGGAACCTGGAAAGTGCCACAAATGATCAGTTTTGTGGGTGACCTCAGGGGCAGGTTACTCAGGCACCTGTGGCTTGGGGGGCATCCTGCGGGGATGGTGACAGGAGCCTGTTCAAGTGCCCTGGGTGCAACTGGTAACGTGTGTGGGGGGCACCTCAGACACGTCAGGGGGGCAGTCAGTTAGTGCTCCTGTCCCAGGTAGACATGGCAGGAAGGGCGCCCCAGGCCTCGGGGGGAAGCAGAGCCCTGAGTACCTGCTGCAGGCGGCTCTGGGGACAGCAGGGGACCAGGCTGTGCCGGTAACAGAACCGTGCCCGTTCTCTCCACTCGGCTCCCCGGCCTCAGATGGAAAGCCCAACGGGGGGAAAGGCGCCCTTGGCTAACTGCGATCTCCGGGCGTCTCTAGTCCCGTTCCTCCAAACTGCTGTCCCCACGTGGCTGCTGGAGACCCGGGGCTGCTCCCCGCTGGACCGGGCGCCGGGCCGTGGTGGCCCTCCGGGGCCTGCTCACCTGGATGTCCAAGTTTGCTCCCGCGTCAATCAGCATCTGGACCATGGCTTCGTCCCCGGCAGCGCAGGCGTACATCAGCGGCGTCAGACCCTGCGGGAATCAGAGGGCGATGCTGAACCATCTGCAAGCAGACGCAATGACACGTACTCCAGGGGCCGCGGTCCCACACACCACAGCCGGGTCTCCTGCTGGACTCGGCTGCCCACCCTGAGCCGTCCCGTGTCGTGGCTCGACCTCCTGCCCCTCCCAGGCCCGCTGGACACGCCACACGTGTACAAGCCCGGCAGGGCCCCGGTGGGGTGGGTGGGGGGCAGAGCACAGGCCTGGGTGCAACCTCTGCTGCAGGACGCCGTAAACGTTGTCCAGGGTACCTGCCTCGCTCTGTGCCTCAGTTTCTTCTTTAAAATGAGACTAGCAACAGTACCTAGCTCACGGGGGTGCTGCGAAGAGCATGAGCTACTGTGTGCAAAGTGCCCCGTACAGAGGAAGCCGACCTCGGGAGCTGACTGGTCACAAGAACACTGTGAGCCCGTCGCTGCCCCTGGACATGCGGCCACATCCTAACCCGCCCTGGGCGCCTGGGGCCCTGTGTGCATCTCACTGGATCTACTATTTTGCCCATTTTACGGATGGGGAGCAGGGCAACCCAAGGCCAGGTCACACGGGGAGGGAGTCACGCTGGAAGCCGCATCCACCTGAGCTGTGAAGCTGCCCCCCGCCCCGGCACCTCACAGAGCGCGGACGGGGCCTGACTCGAGTACCTGGTGCTACGGAGCAAGTCAGAGCTTTTCCCAAAGCCGTTCTTCCAGGGGAACTGGGGAGGCCCGGGCCCTTCCCGAGTTCAGGTGGACGGCGGCTAGCGGGCTGCCTCCTGGCTGGGAATCTTTCCCCGTGGCCAGTAATAGCAAAGGCAGCCGTGCAAAGTGTTATTCCACAGCTGGATCCTGGAGAGCGTTTGTCTGGAGCCTCGCGATGTTATTTATTAGGTTATTTGTGTGTAGACAAGATCTCCTTACCTCATAAATCCTTGCCTAGTGCCCAGAGATAAAGAAATGGCCTGACATTAATCACGGGCGAGAGAGCTGTTTACCCACAGATCATCCTATAAATACCAAGGCCGAGGGGACAAACAGGACGGGGCCTTGAGGGCAGAGCGAGTGCCGCGGAGGGAAGCTCTGGCTCGGTCTCGGCCCCCTCGGCCCCCTCGGCCCTTGCCTGACTTCCTTCCCACGCCTCTGTACACGGTCCCGCGGTCACACTGGCGAGGAGCCTCACACCACTTGTGCATCGCTCCAGCCCCCCTCCAGGTCCACGAGCAGAAAGGGCTGAGGAACAGAGCTCAGGCGTCATTGACGCCATCATGGGACGCACAGCGAAACCCAGAAGGAGCCCGCCCTGAGCCTTTATCACGTGCCCCACGTGGAAGGGTCCCTAAGCCGACAGGGCCGGGAAGGGCCGGGACTGTGATGCAGGGGAGGAAAGTGACCCCCAGGGAGGTGGGGCACCTGGCCCATGACGGGCGGTGGCCCTGGGCTTCACCACTGCCCCAGGGTGAAAGTGAGGCTGGGGACCTGCACCGACACGGGCACCCCGGGGGATCTGGCCCCCAGCCTGTGGCCCCCCGCTGCCCTGCCTCGCCCCGTCCCAGCACTCGCCCGACTGTCCCACTCTGTGCTCTTTCCCCGGAGTCCCCGAGTGCCCGCTCCATCCCCCCACTCTCCTCCCTCCTCAGCTCTGGCTGGGCTCCCACCCCTGCCCCAGCCATCCTGCTGGCCCTGTCACCTGTCCAGGGCCACCCTGGCCGACCTGGCACTTGGGGAGAGCACTCCTCCCAGGCCCGCTGCTGTCACTGAGCTTCCGCCCCGCCCCCCGCTGTGTGACCTCAGGTAAACCAACTCCTCTGTACCCCAGTTCTCTCATCTGTAATGAGAGGATAATGATGGTATGACATCACAGGGCCACTGTCAAGACGGGATGAGTTCACCTGGGCAAAGTGCTTTGAACAATGCCTGGAACGCAGAAGTGCTCTATAAACGTGAGCTCTTCACAGCAAAAACAACAGACAAAAGCAAACAAAAAACCTCAAGTTCTATGTAAAACTGTAAAGCACTTCCCATGCTTCCTTTTCTGACTTCATTTTATTCTCTAGCGCTTTTCACCAACGTGCTCTGTATTTGACGTTTTATATTTCTTAGCACACGTTTCCCCAACTACAATGTTAAGTCCACAAAGGCAACAGGTTCTGTGGGCCTGGAACACAGTAGGCCTGGGGGGTCCAGGGCGCGCCCCAGCGAGCACTACCCACGGCTGGCCGTCCAGCTGAGCCCTCCGGCCTTTCTCCCAGCCCGGCACCAGCCCGGCCGGCCTCTGGCCTTCCGGCCCGCGGAGCAGAACCTGCCGTGCAAAGGTCTTCCCAGGGGTGCTAGGAAGTCCTCAAGCAGACACCCCACCAGGGACGGGCAAGGGCACGATTCGGGAGGCTGCCTACTTCTCAGGAGCATGGAGCTGAGCGGCTCTCAGGGTTGGACCGGAAGGACGGGCGCCACCACCCCTCCCAGTGGTGAGTCCCTCCTCCGTCCCCTGCACCTGGCCAGCGGAGCCCTCCGTACGCACCTGGTCGTCCATGGTGTTCACCCCGTCGGGGCCCAGGGCGTCGATCGCCTGGTGGATCAGGTCTGTCCTGCCGCAGTTGAGCATGCGGAAACCCAGGTCCTGGTTGAATTTCTCGGTGGCCGCGCGGGCATCCAGCCTCCGGAAGGAGCTGAAACAGCACTCGGGTCTGCGTGGAAGAGACCCGGAGGTGTGTGAGCACGGCTGCGCGTGAGCCCCTGGGGCGAGGACGTGGCCTCTGGGGAGGCGCCGCACGCCGCGCTCGGCTGAGCGGGGCAGGACGCCCGAGTGGATGGAAGGCTGTCCTGCTCAGCAGCACGAGGAGCACAGGCTTCGGCTCTTCTACGAACATGTCGAAGAGCCCTGAGCTCTTTGGAGCTGCCCACTGGCAGGAAACAACCATCGGAAATAACCCACCAAGGGCTCTGCCCGAGGAGGAGGCAGCTCCAGCCTGGGGCCGGGGGGCAGGGGGCTTGCCCGTGTCCTTGCTGTGGGGTGAAGCCTGCGCTCGGCCCACGGGACGGCCGCTGTGGCCAAGCTCCAGTTCTTGGCTCCACGTCCTCTCCTCAAGGCTTCCCGAGGAGGCCCAGAATTATCAGACAGATGGTGGGGAATGGCTCAGAGTCCCACTGCCATCAACCATCTTAGCAACGAGAATCACAGATTCAAAACTGTGTCTACAAGACATCACACCACAGGCCTCCCATAGGTGCCTTCAGCCTGGAGCCTTAGTTGGGCCAAGGTGTGGAAAGTACACGTCCCGGAAGGACATTTGGGAATTTGCCATGGAAACAGAAGAAGTTGTAAGTGGGGTTGGGGCAAAGGGTCAAAAAAAAAAAAAAAAAAAGGCAAGACTCTCATTAGGACAAGGATGGCCACAGAGAACATTCTCCAGAACGACTTTAGGAGACCAGCCCATCCTGTGTACAGGATGGTCACACTGGGATGAAAACTAAGAGCCCGGGGATCCCTGGGTGGCGCAGCGGTTTGGCGCCTGCCTTTGGCCCAGGGCACGATCCTGGAGACCCGGGATCGAATCCCACGTCGGGCTCCCGGTGCATGGAGCCTGCTTCTCCCTCTGCCTGTGTCTCTGCCTCTCTCTCTCTCTCTATCATAAAAAAAAAAAAAAAAACTAAGAGCCCGGACTTGGGGCCATATATATTTGGGGTCAAATTCAGGCCTGGCCACTTTGGTAGCTAATTATCTGTGGGCAAATTATTATTATTCCTCCCTGATCTCCCAAATGTTTCTCCATTTGAATCTGGGCCTTAGAGCCCCTCCTTCTCTAAAGTTGTCACGAGGACCAAGATGACACACGGGAAAGACAAGGGCTCGGCCCAGCGCTACACTGAGGAGAAGAGAGGAAGGACCTGCTTCTGCCGATTCCGCCCCAGATGTCCCACAGAGCCAGACTGCGGGCTCTCCTGCCCCGATCCAACTGCGCGTCCCTCTGCGCACCCGACCAGCGGCTACAGGAGATACACCCGGAAACCGGCCGGGGTCGGGAGCGGTCAGCTCTACCAGGCCCGGCCCCCCAGCCTCGCTCCCCGCCGGGGCCGTACTTGAGCTGCCGGGGCTCACAGTCCAGGCCGGGCAGCAGCAGCCGGGCGGCCTGCCGGATGTCGCCGCTGTCCACGGTGAGGCTGCGCCGGTGCTCCGCGTACGTGATGGCCACGCGCATCCACTCCATCAGCGGCGGCAGCAGCATGAAGGGCCTGCGAGGCAGCAGAGAGAGAGGGTCAGGCGGGCGGGGTACGCGCTCAGAGGGTGGCTGGGGGCTGGGCACCCCGAGAGCTCCGGGCGGTGAGGTGTGGAGGGGGCTCGCCCCCTCTCACAGAGGCCCCACAGAGTCCCGTTCCACAGACGCTGTCACGGGGCAGGAGAAACTGCCATCGAGGGCCTTAGGTGACCAATGAAAGAAAGACGCTGCCAGTGCGTCAAAGTGGCAACTCCTGTCCCCTGCAAAGAATTCAGACGGGGTCTCCAGGTCTGCCTCTCCGGGAGACTGCCTCCTGCAGTGGGGTGCGTGTGCAGGACAGGGTCCCAGAGGCACGCTCCCACCCAGCTTTGCCACCAGCAGCCGTGCTCCGTCACCGCCCACACGCCCGAGCCTGCTCCCCGCATCCGAGGGATGGGCGGTGGGGAAGCCGAGACGGCTGAACCCCACCCGGGAGGCACGGCAGAGGGTCACCTGTCCCTCAACCTGCACCTGGGCCGGGGTGGGCCTGTGTCGCCTCAGCTTAGCGCTCCAAGTCCTACGGCGGGAATGGTCTCAGGGCCCAACACAAAGAACGTGGGTGACGCGACGGGGGGGGGGGGGGGGGGGGGGAGGCTCCTGTCACTAAGGCCTTGGTGGCGTTGCCAACTCCAGGGGGCACCGCTCCAAGGTACCCCACGTGTCAGCAGGGGGCGCCATGCTCCTTCGCAGGGCCCGGGCCCAGTGCCGCCTGGCATGGGGGGGACACAGCGGTCCAGCCCATCAGGGGCCGTCACCCTGCCCCAGGCCCGCCCACGCCGCCCTCTGCTCTGGGTTCCAGCTGCAGAGGGGGGGGTCCACTCACGACAGAGAGGCCTCCCTCCCGTCCTCTACCAGAGCTGCCAAGTCTCCGTGGTGGGCACGTCCCGGGAGGTCACTTCACCGTCCAAAGGGTCTCCAGGTCACCAACGGCCCTGATGGTGAGGCTCTGGCCCTATGACTCAATGGGCAACCGGCTGGTTCGACCCAGAACTTTCCTTGCCTGGTCACAAGGATGAGGCAGCCCTGGCACCCTGCCACCCCCCCCTTCCTGCGCGTGCTCCCGCCCTCCTCACCCCACTCCCCGACTCCCGGAGCCTCCAGCCTCTGCGGTCGCCGCCACCTCGCCCTTAGACGCGCAGAGGTACCGTGACCAGGCAAAGCACCTCCGTTCTCTCTCCTCAGCCACCAGGTCAGTCAGCCGGAATCAACGAGAGACCCTCTGACCACTTGTCTCAGATTTCCAAACACTTAGGAAATCATCAAAACTTTAAGAGCTTCTCTCCTCGAGGGCAAAGGATGCTTTCATTTATTTTTAAACAAAATAAGCGGATGTGATGGTGAAGCGAGTTCATTTGGAAGCTATTTTGACGTCCTGGCTCTGTGGTTTCAGAAAACCGATATGGGTCCGGGTGTACCAATCGCAGTGGGTGAGGAGGAGTCATGGGCGGGGGGAGCCTGGCTGGTCTTGGCCCTCAGGAGTGCCGGGACCTTGCCCCACCCCCTTCCCAGTCCTGGCTCGGGTCCTTCAGCAGACGGCCAGGCCCCCGTGGTTCTCAAGCCCACCTGCCCATCCTACGTCTTCGAGAGAATGAACGAGCTCCCACCTCTGTCTGTCCAGATCCTGTTTATCCTTCAAAGCTCAGTTCTAACACCTTCTGTTTCCAGAAGCCCTCTCAGATCCTCTCTCCCCAAAGAAAGTAACCTCTTCCCACTCCAAGATCCCTTAGAATTTGCTCTTCCACCCATGAATGTGTCTCATCTTCCCAACTAGATGCATCGTGCCTCGGAACCAGAACGATGGCTTGCTCATGTCTGCGAACCTCCAGGAATGCCCAGCACGCGGCCTGAACACAAGTAGGTCCTCGATAAACACTGGCCAAGTGACTACAAGAACGGCTGAGGGTCAGGAACTTATTGTGATGTATCTAAGTTTCCCGTTCTGGACCAACTCTTGTTTCCACCCAGAAAAGAATGGCATATGACTTTCAAGGGCACGGTGCTGACTGGCTGGAGTGGGAGAGCCAGGACTCCGGGGGTACGGGGTAGCCTGTAGAACGTAGGGAGGCACGACAAGTCATTTGTGGACTACTCCTCTGTTTACAAGAACTGTCTTGATTACAAATACCCATTTGAATTCTCCCCAAATATCCTTGGATTTTCCAATTCTTACAGTGAACGTTAGAAGGCAAGCTCAGACACGTATTTCTATATATATCAGTGCTTCTGATCCAAGAGGAAGGCTTTATCTCAACCACCAGCATTGGGACTGAAGTGTAAATGAAAGGATAGTTCGTGGATCTGCCAGCCGCTCTTCCGTGTCGTGGCCAATGGCCAAGACCAGGTGCCAAGTACCGACGCTGAAGCTCTAAGCGGCATCTCCCAGCGGCACTAGGGGAAATCCAAGAGGGAACTTGGGGAATCACCGGGTCTAATCCGATGGTGTCATGATTCGTTATGCTCTGGGCCTCTTAGAACTCGGCACATGAAAAAAACAGTGTTGATAACCCTGGTGGGCAGCTACTAGGGTTTGGCTCATTCCACCTCCATCATCCCATCTTCGTTGGGAGACATAAAAAGTTGAAAACTACACTTCCCAGACTCTTTGCAGCTGGGTTTCTGGAGGCAAAGTGAGTTTTGTCCTTAAGATGCAGCCCCCTGGTGGGAGTCTGTTACCGTCCTTGGAGGCTTGGCCTTGAACCTGTTCCCTGAGCTCTTCTAATGATTCTACAGGCTTCTAACTCCCTGCATTAAATCCCTTCCTGCTTAAAATACCTAGAGCGGTTTCTGTTTCCTGAAGTGCACGCTGACTGGATACTCGCCACCTATGGAAATCCTCTGCCTCTGGGGTAGGGGCTGGTGTCCCTACCCCATAAACAAGGCCATGCCAGCCCCGACCCTGGCCTCTTCAGGCCTTTTCCCCTGGCCTCCCCTCCCCACTGTGGTCCACAGGAAGATAAAATGAGAAGCAATTCATGGACTTTCTCAGTAACATCCTTCCTTGGCCTGTGGGTTCCAGGCTGTTTTCCTTTCTGGTAATTTCATCTAACCCACTGGACATGCTGAGAAGCTGGTCTGTATTCCTGAACATTCTGGAAAATCCCTACAAAAACTCCCATCCATATTGGCCGCAGCCACATCCTAACGGTGGGGTGAGAGGGCTCCAGAGGAGTGCGGCTGGGGATGACTGGACATCTGCTCTGTCCGTTTCTCTTCTGAGAAAGGCTGTGCCCCTCTCGGCTGAGCTTGGCCAGAGGCAGGGGGAGGGGACAGGGCTGAAGGAACCCCCTCTGTTGGGCCCCTCTGCCGCCGAATGTCCCCCGTGCTGGGTCCAGTACCTCTGAATAGTGGTTCTGGAGGGTTTTGGTCTCAGGATCCCCTCTGTACTCTTACAAATTACTGGGGCCTCCAAAGAGCTTTTGTTTCACTGCGTTATTGTACCACAACTTATGGTGTCAGACACCAACACAGAAAATGTCAGCGACGCCTGGGGGGCTCGGCTGCTTGAGCGTCTGCCTTCAGCTCAGCCCATGATCCCAGGGTCCTGGGATCGAGCCCCACGTCGGGCTCCCCGCTCAGCGGGGAGTCTGCTCTCTCTCTCTCTCTCTCTCTCTCTCTCTCTCTCTCCCTCTCGCTCTCAAATAAATGACGTCTTAAAAAAAAACAAAACTGTTAAAACATGTGGATACACAATGTGGCGTCCCCCCTCAGCCACTGGCGATGCTGTCACCACATGTCCACACGTGAGAAGAGGACAGTGAAAAGGCATATAACACCTTATTCTCATAAAAATAATTGTGCCCCTGCAGACTCCTGAAAAGTGTCCAGGACCCCAGGGGTCCCAAGACCACCACGCTTTGAGAATCACTGCCTTCAGACAAGGCTGTCCTGGCGCTGGACGTGGGGCTGGAATTCGGCCTCTGGCGGCCCACCGTCTGGCCAATTCTAGAATAAGCGTAGTACTTGCACGCGCCTTCCCGGCCCAGCGAGCTGAGGCTCCTACTGCCCCTTCCCCGTGGCATCCTCACTGCAAGAGAGCCCCAGGGTCCTGGAAGCAAGTGCACTGGCCCTGTAACCTGGGGCAGCTACTGCACTCTTTGGGCCTCTTTTTCTCTTAAAGGAGGGCTAAGTGGTGGCTTCTGGATATTTCCCATTGTGAGAACCTCGCCTGCTGCTGTTTCACAGGCCCCACATGACGAGGGCCGTATCCACCCTGCAGCGACTGAGAGCGTGGGCTCAGGAGGGAGCCTTAGGAGGTGGGATGCAGTGTTACTTCCGATGAATTCCAACGTGAGCCTGTGCACCCTCAGCCTCAGTGGACCCATCAGTGAAATGGGCATAAATAGTAGGCCCACTTCACAGGAAGTATGCACGGGAGGGGTTTAGCCCAGCACCTGGCACGGGGCAAGTTCTCAAGAAAGGTGAACTATTGTTACTATGTTAGTATCTGTTGACAGAGAAAACATAATAGCAAAAGAGGCCACAGGAATCTGGTCCTATTAAATGCTTCAGCTCTAGACCTACGAGTGGGGCCAATACCACCCCCCCACCCCCAAGTACAAACATGTCAGGATTGCAAGAGCCTGAGAGCAAATGGCCCATCACCCACTCCATCCCAGCTCCTAAAACAGACAAAACAAATGCAACCACTACGTTGAGTATGATCTGGAAGCTGTTTCTGGCAGCGCGGGCTCTCGGCCTCGGCGAGGAGGATCTCGCACGGGGCGAGCGATGATGACAAGGAACACGGACTCACCAACACGTGACGGGGGGTGGGGGGTGGGCATGGAATCACCACCAGGGTCCCGCGCCTCCGGCCTGCCCCAAGTGCTGCTGGCGGCCTAAACCTGAAAATCATCGCACGCACGCGCACAAACACCTGGGGTGGGGCTGCTGCCGTGACAAACCAAACCACTTAAAGGGCCATTGGCGGGCGGCATGTGTCCATGTGTCATGTCACGGGGCGACGTCCAGGAGATG